CTCCTAGTTTGTGTGGGATCATTGCAGGGCCAAAATTCATGCTACAGCCAGCTCTGAGGGGGGTCCACTACTAGGGCTGCCAACTTTCTAATTGCAAAAACCAAACACCCTTGTCCCGCCCCTTCCCCAAGGCCCTGCCCCCGCTCACTCCATCCCCCCTCACACCCTTGCTCGCTCTCCCTCACTTTCACTGGGCTGGGGCTGGGGCAGGGGCAGGGGCAGGGGGATGGGGTGCGGGAGGGGGTGAGGGCTCTGGCTGGGGGTGTGGGCTCTGGGTTGGGGCCGAGATTTGGTGTGTAGCCCTTGGGCCACAAAGTTTGCCCACCCCTGCACTGGTGTAAATACATTGATGGAAGCAACGGTTCAGGCAAGGCCTGATTCAATTTATGCAAATGAAAGGTAGACTGTTGGGTGTTTTGTCTGAAGTTCCACCCTGGGGACGCCTGTGATCTTCCTTAGGGATCTCTCTCTTCCACCCTGGAAGATCTCTATCATCCACATCTTGTTTCTCTCCACCCCCTGGATCTCTCCTGCATTCAATATAGTCTGAACTCATTTTACATAGACAATATGCAGCTGAGGTCCACATTGCAGACAGGAAAGAAGACACTTGCTGTAAATGAAGCTGTGTTAATGTCAGTGGAAGCAGGATATTAGGCCCAACGATTATAATGTTCCTTTTATGCAAACTCCCTGTCTGAGTCTCCAGCAGCCTGCCCAGACTTGGAGGATAATACACAAATTCATTCATTCACATGTGTGCAAGAAGTTACCTTGGCTCTCTCCAGGTTTTTCCTTTGTTCATGGAATGCAGATGGGCTTTTCAGTGCTGCAATAAGAAACACAGAGGCACAATCAGCACAAGGGAAGGAGCAAGCAGCCACCAGAATACTCAGCAATAGAATTTTAACAAGTGCTATAAAAATAGCAACACAAATGAGCCAATCTCTTTATTGAGCTAACTAAAAACTTAGGAAAGCTATGGGAAATCCCAGTCTCTCAACCAGGCTGTGGCAGGAGAGCAGAGGGGATGGAGAGCAAGGGGCGAGCAGAAGCCCAAGGCAGAGAGATGGTGCAGGCTGTGCAACTCAGTGCTCAATGGGACACTTCCTCTTCTAGGGGAGGCTCTTCCCTGGAGAGCTCTCAGTGGGTTACAGCACCTCAGAACATAGTGGGGAGGAGAAAGCAAAGGGTCAGTGCCCAGAAGAGAGGAGACCTCGTTAAAGGACTCTGTCAGCAGGTGGGCCTGCAAGTGGCTCAAACTGTGAGGCCAAGTTCAGGGGAACATGAAAAAACAAAGGGATCTCGTCATTCTTCACTTGGGTTGCAAGTGTATATTAATCACAGGGCTCAGAAGCTTTTGTTCTCTGCTCTCCTCCCCAGTTTCTCCACTCACTGCACACCAACCTCTTCTCTGTTCATTTACACAATCCCCTCCTTTGCAGCTCCCGCCTTCAAGCAGCCTTCCTGGCTCTCTGACACTCTTCTCCATCCCCCTGTGAAAGGTGCTGGGCAACTGAACTGTGGGTTTGGGGAGTGCTAAGTTAGCACATGACCCAGCCTGGGAGCCAAAGTCAGCAGGCTGCCCTAGCCACCACTTTCAAACACTCTTCCTGAAAGCGTTTGGTTTAGCCCTTAGAGGGTTTCGAAGAGAAGGGCGTCTGTACAATTCTGTTCACCCTCTTCAGAATATTATATCATGCAGGGGAGGTCAGCCTGATTGGTGAGGGCCCCTGTGGCACATGCTAAGGCCCACAGCTCTCTAGGGATTACATACAGCTTGTGGGTTGAATCTGGGTAATTTCTGAGTTCCACTCTTTGTTATTCCTGGGTACTTCAAAATACCAATCGACAATAAGTCCTTTAGTATCATCTCAGTATCAACTTCCGAGAGCTGAGTGTAAAGAGTCTGTTTCCAGTGCTGTTCAAAGCCTCTGAGGACAATATCTGGAACTTTATGTTAAAGCTCAGCTATAACTTATTTATAGTTCTGGCTGAAAACCGTGGTTTCCAAAGTGCAGAAATAAAGGCTGTGACCAAAAGCAAGGCCATAGTTTGCTCCGCGTCACGTTATTCCCCATTTGCAGGGTGGAAATGAGAGCAGAGTTTGGTTCTGCATTTGAAATCTATAGGAAAGACTCAGTCTTTTTTGGGTGTCCAGGGAATTTCTTCTCTGGCAAGAAAAGAAAAAAGACTCAAACATCTCCTTGGGTTCCCGCATTGAATGGAAGGGGCATTCTAAAGTGAGGAGTTCGGGGGTCTGTTTTGTTTGGCACCATTTATTTAGCTAACTTACAGCTTGATCCTTGACAGGAATAAAAAAAGGGGTTAGAAATTCATTTTGCACAGGGCTCAGAAACTAGTGGCCAGTCTACACTCCAGAAATGTGGGAGTAAATGGGGAGCTCAGGCAGAACAAATAAACATGTAGGCGAAGGGAAAAGAGGCCAAGAGGAATTTTGGGTGGATTGGCTGGTGGAAGGGGATGGATCTAGTGAAAAAGTAGGATGGATCACACCAAAGTACAAAGGGCCAGGGAACCTTTTCTTGCTTCCAACATTTCAAGAGCAGACAGACAGACATGCTTGTATGATTGTGCCGTGCTTTGGTGAGCAGCCATGAGGATGGTGACAGCTGTTTTAGTCAAAAGCAAAATAAAATGAGTGCACACAAAAAATTGAAGTAAGTAAGGGACGTTACTTTTGATAGCCCAGTTCACTACGAAGTCCTAGTGTTATGAGGTTTCTGTGGGCAGGAATTGACCAGGTCAAACTTCATTTCATGCTATTCATAATGAAAGTGTTGCAGAATTTAGTCATTTACCAAGATTTTGGAGGAATTATGTGGATGCTGCAGCTTGTATTAGTCTGCAAAACAAATAAAGGTATTGCTAGCATCGGTTCTTCAAACAACATATCAGGATAGATCTGTGATGGGATTCATCAGTTTGGAAGTGCAGGTGGCTTTGCAGAAAATGGACAAAGCTGCTGCACTTGACATGCCAATTTTAGGACTAGTTTTTGCCTTTAAGGCACAGCCCTGTGTTTGGGAGGATGAGGAGGAGCCTCTGTGTAGCCTGAGCCCAGCATGAATTAGGCCAGAATTCTACTGGGGATCTTGAGAATCAATCTCTGTAGCAGCAGCTGGTCCACCACCCAGTGCAGTGAATGGCTAGTTCCAGCCCAGCCCTCCCAGTTTGGGTCAGCTAGCAGAGTCTGACTTGCAGATTGTGGCTGACCCCTGCGCAGGGTTGCTAGGGAAAGATTCCTTGCACACTCTTCCCTGGTTGGGCACATACCCACACAATCTGCCCCTTTGTGGATCATGAAATGTAGACAGTTAGCGATACTCCTGACTTTATGGCAAATGCTTCCCAGCAGTTTCACAGAGTGAATTTGCCCAGTAAACCAGGCATGAAACATTTTCATCAAGCCAATAAAATTGCATCCGGATGAGATGTTCAATAACATATCCTGTTGTTTTGGCCCTCCCATTCACTAACGGGGCAGGTTTGGCTCAGTTACTTTAGTATGAATCCAGAGTTCCTCCATTGACTTCACTGAGCCTGATTCTCTGCTTACTTTCACAAGTTCTACCCCTCCATTAGCTGAGCGAGGCTGAGATTGGAGTTTGTGCCATTCTCACCCAAGGCAGTCACCCATCTCTCCAGGGGGGAGGAGAGGGGCATGTCTGCAAAGCCTTCCTCTCTCTTCAGTCACAGTCTACCCCATAGGCTGTGCAAGGTTGGTCCTTGCCTTTGCCTCCCTGACTGCTTTAGCTATTCCATTTGGAACTGATCACAGACTGACCTTTCACAGCATCAGGTTGTTCCCACCGTTGAGGCCACATGGGACACTCCTGCTGCAAACTAGCTAAGATGCTTCAGCTTGTAGCATTTTGTATTATTTGTTTGAGGCTTTCACTTTAACGATCTTTCAGTAAATGGTTCCAGAACATTGTAGTGTTCAGCACCTCCAAGTGCTATTGAGAACATTCATAAGTCATTGGTATCCAGAAGGGATTGCTCAACACTTTTACCCACTGATTTTCTATTATTGTGAATATTAATCTGTCTCTCTGTCCTCTGTGGGTGGAAATCTAGAAATGGATCAGTTATAAAGAGGAGGCTAAATTCTTTGCAATAGAATTACACCAGCAGAAAATCTGGCGGAGGGATTTTAAAATTACCCTTGTCCAAAATCCAGGACTGACAGTGTCCACTCTTGGACCAGTTTCATGATTAAGGTCTGATATCTTCTGACTCCTTAAGGCTGCTGTATCTCACAGAGTAGTTTTCTAATATACTGTATAAAACAATCATATCCAGCCCTGGTGACTTTTGGGATCTCAAACTTTAAAATCATGACACCCAGGTTTACAGAACAGCTCTTTTTGATATATTGTAGACCGCACACTTTGTGCATTACAGCAACCCCACCTCATTCCATACTCACCTCAGTGTATGGAATGAGGTTCCAGTTGATGTGCACCTTCAAGAACTCAGCTTACATATCTATGCTCAGTGCCAGCAGAACATGGGGACACCATTAGGAACAGACCCTTGTTGTTAGGACACATTGACTGTGCATGTACAAACCCTCTGCGAGCTGGACTATTGAAAGGCATCTTTGAGATGCAGCAACAATCTCTCTGTCAAATGTCTAGTTTCTATCCTTCCTTGTGACATGATAGTGCTGTTAAGAAATGTGCACATTTGTATAATGGCAAAAGAGTATTTTATTGTCTTCATTCTCAAAAATGAATGAACCATTTGTGCTTAGTCTCCCCCCACATGGCCCCCTTGGACAGAGGCCTACAAAATGCCAGCCCAAAAGGTGAGAGTGTGGCAAAGCTGTAAGCAACAGGAAAAGGCCTTTGAGGTTTCTGCACTAGTGCCAGTGCCTCTGCTGTGCGTTTCTGTGCCGTGTGCAATGCAGGAATTCTTTAGAAAGCATTAGGTCCCCATTTCTAAAAGTGCATGTGCCCCATGTACTCACACCATTGGGGGATTTCCAACTGCACAGACCTTTATGTTCAAGAACTCCAGTTTATGCACATGCAATGAGACACTCTGCATGCTCATCTTGAGTGTGCCCCTTTTAAAATGCGGGCCTGTCAGGAGATGTTAGAAGTGGCACAGAAATCTGACACTGTGACCAGCTCTTGCAATTCTATCACAAGTCTGACAATATTTGGTGTTTTTTTTAAAGCCCCAGGCTCTTGGATTTACATAAGAATCTCAATTTACATTAAAAATAAAAAATAAAAATGTCTAGACTTCCTGGTTGCAGAGAAAAGCTTGAAAGTATGAACCCAACAGGCTCAAAACCCAGAATGCAAATCAAAAGAACTCAACATTTATTATGTTTTAAAATCTCATGATTTATATGACAATCTCATGATTTGGGGCCTGACTCATGATTTTTGCATGCTTGAGGGTGGTAGTACTACACTGATTAGCCTTTTACTGCTAACACCGATTACAGACTCATGAAAGCAAGAGAATTAGAAAGATGGTGGGAGAGATAATCCAGGTGTTGAATGGAATGCTACAGACATACTGTTACTGGGGAGCAGAGACCATAGTGCTATCTTCTGTTTGGGTTTAAGAGCTGTCTGAATAGCACAGTCCTCAATGAGGTCCATATTATAAAGCACAGTAGCCAATAACAGAGAAAGAAAGGAGCTAGTAAGAAGTGTATTAGGCCTTGCAAATTTGCAGTCCTTTGCAATTATTCTAAAGGGGCAGTGAGTAGACAAATTGTATAGGGACAAATGCTTGACCTGGGTTACTGCTAACATTATAGCTTCTGTACATGGAGGGCTGTTCTAGACTAGGATGAAATGTGTCAGTTAACAAGGCAGAAGGGAGGTCTGAGATCTAGCTGACTGGCTCCATTGTTGCCACTTGCTGGCTTCATGCAGCTGGGCAGTGCAGGTGCAGCAGGCAGGCCAGTTTCATTCTTGCCCTTCCTGGCTCTCATATGCTAGCACAGTGCTGTTGGGTTTGGCTTTGGCTTTCTGAAACATTGGGCTATAGCGAGTGCTGGGCTGGGCTGGATCCCACCAACTGAACTAGCGGCTGCAGAGCCTTGGTGAGGGAAATCTGCTTAGGAGGTAGGGAGATCTGAGCAGGGCACAGCTCACGTGTGCTCCTCTCAGCCAGGGGCCAGGGGATGCAGAGCAGGTGCACTGACTCAGCATGGCTGTCAGCTGGCCTCTGGCTATACATCTGCTGGGGAGTTCTGGCTGTGCCTGGGAAAAGGGCTGGGTATGAATCCCATCAGGTAGCACAGTCCCTGCTGACTCATGGGCTGTGCCAGGGGTTGGGGAAACTAGGTCATTGTTTTTATTGACTCTTGCCTTTTTTAAATAAAACAGCAAGCTGTTCAGCTTTGACTGCATGTCACTGCCCTGTGACAGGGAGACTCTGGCCACCACCAGGCCACAGACCGCTTGAGATTGGAGAAAAATCATGATTGCTATCACCCCCTCTCCTCTTTCCAGGGAAATTCATTCCAGCAGAAAATCCCGGACAGCTCCCGGCAGCTTGCTGTTGGTTTGCCAGCCTGTTCCCTGCCTCTGGGCCCGAACCTGCCAGGTGATGAGCACCTCAGGAGACCTGGCACTTTTCAGGTTCAAATGTGTTATCAGACTCCTGCTCTGATCATGCAGCGAACTGTTTGGCCTAGACAGGCCTGTGCAATCGAGATTTTGAACAGAACAGGAGGGTGACCTGCAATGCACAAGAGAGGGGACTAAAACTCTACTAAGGATGATGGCTAGCAGGCCAGATCCTCAGCCAGTGTAAATCGGGGCAGCTCCACTGACATCCATAGGAGGCCTCTGCATTATAACCCATGTGATAGATATCCAAACATAGTGCTCAAATGCCAGCTAGCACAGCGTGGAGGTAGCAGGGTCCTCCCCAGAGCCCAGCTTGCCAACCAGTGGTGAGAGTGAAACCCAGTCAGGTGGAGGGTGCCAGAGAGCAGCTACCTATAAGCATCAGGAGGCTAATGCAGCATCTGCAGGAACTACTGGTGGCTGTGCTCTAGCTCTGTGAGGCATGTGGCACAGAGAGTGGCAGGTGAGGTACTCACGTGGCATGATGCCCTGGTCTGCCAGCTGCTCACGGGTTCTTCTCTGCTGAAGCCGTAACTGTAAAACTGTTAGAGAAAGAGTGTCAGGAAGAGATGCAAACTTTTTCCTGAAGCAAGTAACTTTCTGCGAACAGCCCCAGAGAGCTTTCAGCAACATGCCCAACGCCTTTCTGTCACTGAGGATGAAAGACAGGCTTGCCCTGAACACAAGGAGGAGAGAGGAAGTCCCTTAAGGGGAGGGGTGTTTCTGAAAAATAGTAAGGGAGCTCCTGCAAAGCAGGTGCCGAGGCATCGCTGTGATCCTGTTTTATTCAATATCTGTAGGGCAGCGTTCCTGGACTGGGGGGGCAGAAGGATCAGCAGGTGACAGAGGACACAGACAGAGCCTCTTAACTGTTCTCCAGAGTCTCAAATTTCATTTAAAAAGAGCACCACAGCTTGAAAGAAAACCTTCCAAATGGGCAACAAATGTAAAAGATGCTCAAGGCTGCAGAGAACCTGAAACAGAGCTCTGAGCTGCCCCATTCAGTAAAATGGGGTCGGCTCATTATACTTTGTAATGTCACCATTGCTGGCTATTTCACTGCCCATCACAGCATGTCTGAAAGGAAAGGAAGGGTCTGTCCTAGGGCTTCCCATAGCGCAGGGCATTCTGGAGGCGTGTCAAGGACTGGCCAGGGGGACACAAAGGCAGCATCCATTAAGAAGGGGAGACTTTTAAGCACACATGGAGGCCTTGCAAAGGGTGTGATTGGTTTCATTTTCCGAAGGTGGCTCAGCGTTCAGTAGTTTGGGACGTGCTGCTCCAGGGCAACCAAAAAACCCAGAATGAAACCAAAGTGCACGGCAATTCCTGGAGCACTGTGAGAGCTTTCAGCCACACTGGACCTCCCCCGGAAACATGGGACCTAAATAACATGGGTTCTTTGTGTCTGCTGTGATGCAGGTGGGATATGTGAGAGCCCCATATTGCTACTGGGGGCAGGGGCAGATGGAGAGGAGGATTATGAGTGGGCTAGGCTTTGTGCTTGGGGCGGCTGTTGGCATGGAGGGTGCAGACAGCCCTCTGGCCTGCCCTGGAAGTCATTATTTTGGCATCTGTGTCAGTGTCCTCATGATGGGCACCATATGGTGGCCATGAAGCAGCACAGGATTGCTATATGTAGGGCATGTGGCGACTGAGAACTGTGGAGGTCTGAGTCCTTGACCCCATGTGAGTGAGCAGGGGTGGGAGTCAGCAGGGTGGAGGACTTTGGTCTCACCTGCTGCACACATAGGAGATGGAGCCTTTCCTTCAGTTCATGTTGTCTAACACAAGGTCAGAAGCATTAAAACATCTGTTACGTGTTACTGAAACCTGGCTGGAAGCTGCTGCTGAGCCAGTCTTGGCCCAGTTGATGCCAGCCAAGTGCTCAGCACATCATGGGCCAAAGGGGACAGCCAAGCTGTAGCTGTGCTATCTGAACCAACCTAAAATGCAGGTCTCCAACCCCAAATCTAACACAGTGTGTCCATCTGGCTGGGATGGAGCTGGGGCTGGTCCTAGTGCATCGCCTGCCCTGCTGCCCAGCACAGGCCATTCTTGGGTGGCTGGAATTTCTGGTTGCAGTGGCATTGGAGCTGTGTAGGCTGATGGCTCTTGGCTATTTCAGTGTTCACAGAGATGACCTTTTGCCTGAATCACCTCAAGATTTCATGGCACTGGAATGGCCCCAGGACTATCCCAGGGGATTGCAAGCTCAACTCACACAGCTGGTCATACTTGGGATCTGGGGTTTGGCCTTAGATTGAAGGTGGAAGCACCTCAGAAACCCTGAAACTCCATGTGGCACTGTGCTGCTGCTAACCCCTCCCTTAGAGGTGAATAGAACCCTCGCCACACTCACCCTCATGGGGCTTTGGCTGCATGATTTCTTTTTCCATGATGTTTTGCCCTGGGTGCCATGTGGCTCTGTTTGCTGGGGGGCTCTAGATAATGCAGTTAGGAGAAGCTAGCTCCGTACATTTAAGAAGTGACTACTTAGATAAAATGTCAATCGCTAGTATCGCTTCTTGGAACGAAAGCTCTGGCAGAATGGGAACCTGCCACTGAACACTGCAGACCTTGGCTTCTATGTGACAATGAAAGCAGATGTGCCAACTCCCTGTTGATAGTTACAATATGCTGAGAGAGGCTCCTCCAGACTCCTTGTAGTAGATCCTATGTTATAGTATATTGCGTCTGTGTGGCACTGCATGGTAGAGTGTGTATTCTCTTACTACTGCAGTCACACTGCCTACACTGGCTATAGTAATATATTTGACACCCTCTCTCTTTTGGTTATTTATCATGCAGTTTTTCAAAGAAATGTAATAAAAGAAAAAGGAAACAGTGTGGATTGCTTTCCTTTCTATTTCATTGCACTGAGGCCAGAATACTGATTCTTCAACATTTTTCTCCATTAGGAGAAATTCAGTAGATAGAGCAGTGCTTAATTTGTAATGAAAGAGGCCAGGGCTCAAAGTGCCAGAGCTCAAGCAATTTTTTTACATTCATCACTGATGCAGCAAGTCCAGAGGTGCTGGGCTATGAACTGCCAAGCCTAGGGGTGTGGGGGCTCAGCCCTGGCAAGCCCTGGCACAAATTAAGCACCAAGTTAGAGATTTTAACAGGGATACGTGTATTTCCACGGACATAATATAACGGCATACTCATCTCCTGACTAGAGATGAGCCCATAGACAAGGCCTTGTGAAAATCACAATTTCATGAACTGCATGGAAATTGTGAAATTAGCCCAATATCACAATTTTTCCAATACTTTTACAAAATCAAAATGAAATGAAGAGACCAGAGTCATGTGATCTTGTTGCGTTCCTTCTGTCTGCCATTTTAGGTTGTGTCTGTGGGGAAGAAAGAGGCACAGTAGCAAGCTCTGATGCCGCCACTCAGAGCATGAGCAGCTGTGGCCTTAGTGGGGAGGTGGAAGCAGGCATCCATGTGTGTAGGTCTCATGCTCAGTGCAGCTTGTCGCATGTGGCAGCATCATGTTAGAGGATTAGTTTGGGGGGACTCAGAGACTAGTTTTATGCAAAGGATTGTAGCAGTGACCTTTCCCCAACTGCATTCTGTGCATATTCCATGAAATTTGATACTTTACCCAGGATACTGCTGTGAATTTTCTAAAAAAAAATCCACTATTTTCACAGCAGAACCCCCAGCCTGAGCACCCCAAGACTTTAGCAAACTCAAAGTAATGATAGATAAGGTTCCCTGGGCAGAACATCTAAGGAAAACAGGAGTTCAGGAGAGCTGGCAGTTGTTCAAGGAGACAATATTAAAGACACAACTACAAACTATCCCGATGAGCAGGAGAGAAGAGGCCAATATGGCTCCTTCAGGAGGTCTTTAATGGCCAGATTATCAGAAAGGAATCCTACAAAAAATGGAAACATGGATGAATTGCTAAGAAGGAGTGCAAAAGAATAGCACAAGTGTGTAGGTACAAAGCAGAAAGGCTAATCATAGAATCATAGAATATCAGGGTTGGAAGGGACCACAGGAGGTCATCTAGTCCAACCCCTTGCTCAAAGCAGGACCAATCCCCAACTAAATCATCTCAGCCAGGGCTTTGTCAAGCCTGACCTTCAAAACCTCTAAGGATGGAGATTCCACCTCCCTAGGTAACCCGTTCCAGTGCTAAGATACACAGTGATTTACATCTAGCCAGGGACATAAAGGCAATAAGAAGAGGTTCTTTAAATATAATAGGAGCAAGAGAAAGACAAAGGAAAATGTAGGTCCTCTACTTAGCAGGAAGGAGAGCTAAGAACAGATATCAAGAAGGCTGAGGTGTTTAATGCCCATTTTGCTTCAGTTTTCACTAAAAAGGTTAATGGGGACCAGATACCAACAAACCTAATATTAACAACAAGGGGGAAGGAACGCAAGCCAAAACAGGAAAAGAACAGGTTAAAGAATATTTATATAAGCTGAAGGTATTCAAGTTGGCTGGGCCTGATGAAATTCACCCTAGGGTACTTAAGGAAGTATCTGAAGCAATCATCTTTGAGAACTCATGGAGGACTGGTGAAGTCCCAGAGGACTGGAGAAGGGCAAACATAGGACCGATCTTTAAAAAGAGGAAGAAAGAGGACCTGGAGAATTATAGACCAGTCAACCTAACTTCAATACCTGGAAAGATCTTGGAACAAATGATTCAACAATCAATCTGTACGCACCTAGAGGATAATAGGGTGATAAGTAAAAGCCAGCATGTTTTTTTCAAGAACAAATCATGCCAGACCAACCTAATTTCCTTGTTTGACAGGTTAATGGCCTAGTGCAGTGGTCCCCAACGCGGTGCCCGCGGGTGCCATGGCGCCCGCCGGGGCATCTATGTGCGCCTGCCTACTGGCCGCTGGACAAGCGGCCGCCGAAATGCTGCCAAGAAGTGGCAACATCAAGAAGTGTTGCCGCCGAAATGCTGCTGATTTTCGGCGGCATTTCGGTGGCTGCTTGTCCGGCGGCCACGCTCCTCGGCGGCTAGTCATCTGGCGCCTGCCTGGAAGGTTGGGGACCACTGGCCTATTGGATGGGGTGGGGAATGGGGAGAAGCAGTAGATGTGATATCTTTATTTTAGTAAGGCTTTTGGAACAGTCCCACATGACATTCTCCTAAGAAAACTAGGGAAATGTGGTCTAGATGAAATTACTATAAGGTGGGTGCTCAACTAATTGAAAGACTACCCAAAAAGTAGTTATCAATGGTTCGCTGTCAAACTGGGAGGGCATATCTAGCAGGGTCCCGCAGGGGTCAGTTCTGGGGTCAGTTTAAATAGCCCCTGGAGCGCCCCGCTACCCCAGGGCTCTGGGGGCTATTTAAAGGGTCAGGGCTGCCCTGCTTCTACTGCCCCGGTCTTTTAAATAGCCGTGGGAGCCCTGGGGAAGCGGCGGAGCTCCAGTGGCTATTTAAAGGACCGGGGCAGCAGAAGCAGCTGGAGCCCCCCACTACCCCAGGGCTCCCGTGGCTATTTAAAGGGCCCAGGGCTCCCCTGCTTCTACGCCCCGGTCCTTAAAATAGCTGT